GTAGAAACAACGAGGAGTCCTTGTGGCACCTTAGAGACTAACAGATATATTTGGACATAAGCTTTCGTGGGATATAACCCACTTCATCAGATGCATGGAGTGAAAGATACAGTAAACAGGTATAAATATTCAGCCCATGAAAAGATGGGAGTTGCCTTACCAAGTGGGGGGATCAGTGCTAACAAGGCCAATTCAATTAGGGTGGATGTGGCTCATTCCCAACAGTTGACAAGAAGGGGTGAATATCAACAGAGGGAAAATTATTTTTTGTAGTGACCCAGCCACTCCCAGTCTTTATTCAGGCCTAATTTGATGGTGTCAAGTTTACAAATTAATTCTAGTTCTGCAGTTTCTCACTGAAGTCTGTTTTTTGAAGTTTTTGTTGTTGAAAAATGGCCACTTTTAAGTCTGTTATTGAGTGTCCAGGGAGATTGAAGTGTTTTCCGACTGGTTTCTGAATGTTATAATTCTTGACATCTGATTTGTGTCCATTTATTTTTTTGCATAGAGACTGTCCAGTTTGGCCAATGTATGTGGCAGAGGGGCATTGCTGGCACATGAGGGCATAGCATAGTCCCGTGCAGCTCATGCAGCCAGCCCTGCTAGCAGCTGCTCTGTCCAGCCTTTCAGTTCCCACACCAGCCAGAAGCAACTCTTGCTCCCCTAGTCCCTACAAGCAGACTGAACTCACTCTCATCCTGCAGTTCCTTTTATGGGAGCCTGCTGGGCCCTGATTGGCTGTTCCCTGCACCCCCTCTCATTTGTTGTGTCCCAAACAGTCTTTTTTTTGGCAGCTAGGAGGACCTCCCTATTGCTCTTTTCTGGAGCAGGGTGAGGCAGGGCCACGAGGCCTATCGCAGGGGGCCTCCAGATCTAGTCCACCCTGTCAGAAGGGCATTGAGGCAGAATGGGTTACTGTGCCCTCACTGGGTCCCAACAACTGAGAAATGAGTTTAAGGGTCTCAGCTCAATTCCTAGAAGAAAAACATGTACCTACTTCAGCATTACAGAGTAGAGGAAGAGGTTATCATTAGGTTAGATGAGGGTGAAAGTATATTTAAGATCTGTGTGTTGAGGCTAACATAGTCATATGTCAAATGCAAGCACCTGTGAGCATTGCCTTAATTTAATGACTCCCCACAATAAAAAAGATGCCATGCTCTATAAATGTTAGACACATTTTTATCATCTCTCCATGACAAAGAAGTAGTTAAGCACTCTGTTAAGAGCCAGGTTATAACCATTACTCAAACCATTAGAGCTATTGATGTCAATTGCCTGTAATTAGTGGCAATTAGTAAAAGGGTAAATGCTGCATGGCATGGCGATCTACATTAATTGAGAACTGTTCATAAGAATTTTTTTTAAAAACTAGATTTGTGACAGTGTTATTTCAAAACATGTTGTTTCCTGAGCAGCTTGAAATATTTAAAAGAATGTTTCATATTTGAATATTCTTTTCAGTTCCTGAAGAGGAGGCTTGTGCTCCTCTTCTCACCTCAATCTACTTGCAGAACTCCAGCCTATATTAATAATAGTTAGAAAGGCATTTTGAGGGAGACTAGAACCCAAAGGATCAGATACACCTTGACTGGTGCCAATAAACCCTTCGGCAATCCCTGGGAAACTCATCCTGAAAGCAGTGGAGGTGGAGGAAGGACAGCCTAGTGGTTAAGTCAACAGATTGGGTCTCTGGAGGCCTGGAGGATTCAATTCTGTGCCGTGCCACAGATTCCTACCTGACTGTTAGCAAGTAACTTTGTATAGCCTAGGCCCCAGCTCTGTGAATAAAGGACAGACTTACCTATCTCACAGGAGAGCTAGTAATAAAAAAAAATCATTAATGACCGTGCAATCTTGAGGGCTGTATAAGTACCCCAATAAATCTATCCTCTTCCACAATTATCTGTGGTTGGTCACTGTAGAGCTCTCAGTGTTTCTGACAGAATTAGCACATATCCAGACTCGCCCAGCCATGCTACAGGCCCTGCCCAGCTAGCACCATCTTTTAGGCTATGCTGACACCCCTATGGACGCAGGTAGAGGGTGCTTGTTGCCATTTCCTTTACCAGAACCTCCTATTGGTTGACTATGCCACGGCTGGCATCTTGGGCTTTGGTTACACTACCAGAAGCTTACACAAAGTAGGGGTAAATCTAGCTTTAAATATATTAGCATTCATGCTAATGTGGTAGTTGTGATGTCCAGGAGATAAATTGCATTATGAACTGACTGCCCCCATCTGCATTCTGTCTGCCTATCCATCTCCCTTCAAATTCCAAACCTCAGAGCAGCTGCAAACAGAAGCACTGAAGAACCAAGAGTCTGACAAAAATATTTATTTTGCTGGACCAACATGTGAAAGTTCCTCACAAAATTACCCTGGCTGAGACCCAGGAAGGGATGTGTGTCACCCTGTACAGTGACATGTTTAAAATCTGGCATCTCATGACCCTGCAGAGCTCTCTTTTCCTGTAAAATGTGTCATATGCAAAATAGATGATAGTGAGGCACAAAGTTTTATTGGTTCTTATTTGTGGATGATTCTCATAACACTGAAAGATCTACCACTCATGAATAATTTGGGTGCAGGCTACATATGGAATCATCAAGTATGTGAAGGCCTATGAATTTGGGCTGTGACCACATCTATCTATGAGCTCTCTCATGATTATGAAAGGGTAACTACGTTTTTGTACAAGTAAAACAAGGGCTCATAATAAAGTCTTTGTGGCCCTCAAACCTACCCCAAAGGTGTAGCTAAGGGAAGCCTGGGCTAACAAAGCAAGCATCCTTGACTCTACAGTAACTCCCTGCTCTTGAAGTTTGAGAGGGGCATGTCTGGAACTGAAGAGTGTAGGAGGGGGCATTTTAAGGTACAGAAGGGGCATGTCCATACTACTCTGCATGCCAGCAATCGTCACCAGCGTAACAACCCATAAGGAGCACACAAGTCAGCATGAGCAACAGTACCCTTTAGCATGCTCAACTCAAGGCAGGAAGTGGTTCGAGTTTCAGTCAGCCCAAGGACTAAAGGAGGGGAAAAGAGGGCATGGCAGAAAGGTGCCTGAGGTCAAGTCTACACTACAGCGCTACATCAGCGCAGCGGGGGATGGTGCTTTTTCAAACCTGTGAATGATGTAAGTTAGATCAACGTAAGCAGTAGAGTAGAGCTGCCCTGAGAGCCAACTTTGTCTTCTTCCTCCCTCATCTGGACTAAGCTCTGCTTCACTGAAGCTGGAGAATTTGCTGAAGAGGTCTAAAGGGAAACAAACACTTATTCTCAGCTTCAAGTGTACTTTATACAGCTAATGTTCCTAGGCATTAATACATATGGGGGAGAGCTTTCCTTTAAAAACAGGTAATTCTATTTCTTGCACATGCAATGTGGAATGTCTGTCAGAAGCTCCTAGGAAAGGCATTATTTAGGCTTCTGAAATTTCCAAGAACACTACTGAGAATTCCCCTATCATTCACTTAATTTGCAAATGAAGAAATAGAGCTAAAGTCTAGCAGCATTCCTTAACATTCAGCTATTTGGGGAGAAAATGTAGAACATTACATTTGCAGCAAATGAGGCAAGGATTTTGTTCCATTCCTAAATGCGATCTGTGGTTTCTCACCATTTCACTTTGTTAACAAACCCTGGGTTTAAAGAGCCATGCCATGTATCCTAGGCTGTTATACAAGATTTTTCTTTTGCTCTATTTGTTTTCTCAAAATCCTGCAATGTCAAGCACTGACATTCTCTCACTGACTTCTGAGCTAGGCTGCCAAAACACAAGCAAAGCAGATAAACTGGGAAGATGGAAATCAGAAGGGAACAGATGGGCTCATCTGCACATAGCAACTCTAAAAAAAGACAAAGCTTCACACAAATTTATAGAGCTGCTGGAAACCAGAAATTTGGCGATTACATAAAAATGATCCTTTGAAATATTTTCACTAAAATACCAGCTTTATGTGAGAGATAGGAAACTTATGAAATCAGCAGTGGTTCAAGAACAAGTATTATACATGGAACTAAAAGAAGCCAAGGGTTAATTTCTAGAGCTATGTAACTATACAAAAGGCCTGAAGGTGTAGAGGTCTGATTTCCCAACCCTTACTCATGTTAGTGAGCACTCTTTGTATACACTCAACAGGACAGTTCAGAGGAGTAACTAGGACATGGCAACTGCCTCAGTTTTCCCCACTGTCAATGGGAGGTCTTCCCTGGGCTGACCAAAGGATTTGGCCAATCAATGAAAATCCTTCCCATCCTGAACAAAATAAAACAGTCCAATTCAACAAATAGTCTTCCAGTCCTCCCTTAGTATTAACATGTCTTTAAAGGAATTTATTCACTTTTCTACAAACATTCAAGCAACTAGTTTTTGCTCCCATAAATATTTGAGGAGCTTTTATTCATGCAACTGTGTCTTTCTGTCTGTGAGCAAGTATATTCACCTATGAGCTAGTGCATTTACAGAGGAAGAAGTGCTTGCCTGGCCATGCTATAAATGCAATTACTTGGTGGGAATGAAATCAGAGTAAGTCGAATTGAAAATTCAGCTAATACTTCTGGTTTAAGTGTTTCTTTCTCCAAGCCAGGAGAGAGCCCAGCTATTTATATATTTTTTCAAATACAAAATACTAATCCAGCTATTTTAAAATCTGTGGTTGACACACACAGGTAAGTATAGTGTTCTGTCGGCTCCAACAGAGAAACATTAACATCTCCAAGGCCTGCTTTTCTCCTTATATCTTTAGCCCTAAAATGCTCTCAGCCTCTCCCTGAGATTTTCAATGCCTGAATGACTTCTTCAGGCACTGCTCCTATTAACAGATATTTGATCATCCAATCAGGGAGATGGAAACTATCATGTGACTCTCAGAACTGAATTCCACATAGCCTGTGTGGAAATCCATAGGTCCAAGTTTTAAAACGTATTAATCATTTGTGAACAAATACACTCAGTTTGCAAATAATTCATAAAGAGAAGGTTCACAAGATTTGGCACTATCTATTCATAACAAACAGCTGTACTGCTATCTCTGCCAGAGGATTTTGTAAACTTTTGGATTTGAAACGGAGAAGGCTGTAAGGCACAGAGATAGAACAAAATTGCTCATATACTGCACTGATTTCAGCCAAATACATAGGTGCATGGCTAGATTTTCTTTACTAAGGTTGAAGGATTTCCCAACATAGAGAAGAATTAATATTTTGAGAAGAAAGTTTTCTAGGAAATGTGAATAGAAAATGCTGTTGGGCAATCTTTCAGGAGGGTGACAAAAGACCAACCAATGAATCCCCAAAGGTAATATCTGTAACAATGCATTGCCATGCTGTTTGGTGCGTTAGCAAGTGCTCTGACCAAAATGTAATGGAAAGTCCTTGAGATACTGTGGAGGAAAGCATGATAACTCAAGAACACCAAGGACAAAGAAGTGTAGGAAGCAACTCAGATGTGAAAATGCCTTGCACCTAATTTCTTTAGGAATGTTTTTCATTCTGGTGTGGGAAGAGCTCTAAAAGCTAAAAAGGCTTAGAACAGAAGAAACTATTTAAAACTGAGAAAAGGATACAGGTGATGTTTTCTGAGTCAATTTCTAGGACTTGTTCTCTGAGGTTGAATTAAGATAATGCATGTGTTGATAATGGTGTTCAGAATCCAGGTGCCAGCAGACTGGTGAACAGCCCTGAATTACTTCATGCTATAGGGCAACCTTAAAAAACCCTGAGTTTAACATTGGCCAACATAATATGTCTGATTAAGTGACCTTCTAAAGGCAGAATTTCTTGAACTGATGTAAATTCATGAGAGCTTCAGGGACTTGATTCAACCCCTGCAGAATATGAATAATTCGTGTCAGCTTCAGTGTGGGGAGAGAGCGGGGCCCCACGAGTTTATCATATTATCAGGAGTAGGATGGGCTGCCAGATAAGAGGAAATAAAATATGACTTAACAGTCCTAATTCTGTTGATCTATTTCTGGTTCACTTGTAATGCTCATTGTTAGCTGCGTTTCAAACAAACACTTATTTCAGGCTAGAAATAAGGTGCATGGTCTTAACAGAGAGAGTTATTAGCCATTGGAGAAAATCTTACCTAGGGATGTAATGGATTCTCTATCACGTCATGCTCTAAATCAATATTGGATGTCTTTCTAGAAGGTACAGTCGATCAGCCAGACATTATGGGCTTGCTGCCATTACTGGATGAGGTTCTCTGGTCTGCGTTACACAGGATGTCAGATTAGAGGATCATAATGCTCTCTCTACAACTCAAAATCTATGAAATGCAGTGCCATTGTGGACTAGCTCAAGGAGGAACATTCATGTATAGTAAGTATCTTCTACTTGTAACCTTTTGGGTCAGCTATTGCTATTGGAAGAAATGATTTGTCTATGCCCATAGGTAAAAGCAAATAACTTGGTAGCTAGATTACTATTTTAGAGTATTTTTCCCCTTGATTTATCTGTTACAGGCTCCTCGCTCTAGTGAATCCTTCTATGTCTCTCTGCTGGTTTTTTTTTTTTTTCCATTTTTGCAATATCACATTTGTCTGATACAGACTTTTCACTGTTCCCTTCACTGGCATGCACCAGCTGCCAAACTGTCAAATACATTCATTGAATCCTTTATAAAAGATTTCAATTCAGTAACACTATGATTTAAACATTTTCAAATTTGCATAATATATGTATAGTAGATAGAGTCTCTATATGTGTATTTACCTGCAGTGAGACAAAGTTATAAACTTGCAAAGCTAGCCTAGCTCGGAGATCACTCAGTCTCAAGTAGAATTGAAGTTACTCTACCACACTAACCCTGTGTTACTGAAGTGGGGGAGAAGAGGAAGGAAATTGAAAAGATGAACATATATGGGATAGTTAGAGCTGAGGTGGGGACCTCAATTACACAAAAGAGTAAAAAAAAATGAATGCAGGTTGATGGGGTCAAAATGTGATTTGAGCACAATTTAGAGAACACAAAAGGATTGTGAGAAAAGTTCTACAGCTAACCCCGTGTTCAGAGATATTATTCATAAGAAGCAGGAAACATAGGCATTGGTATGGATACTGCAGAGAAAAAGGATCAGGCTTTCTAGTAGGCATTTCAGAGTCAGTGAACTCTGCTAGACTACTTCCAGGATAAGGAATTTTCCTGCTCTCCAAACGACATCACCCTATTTCTATTTCAAGTTTAAAAGAGTTTCATTGAATTAAAAATGTAATCAAGCAGAAGTACATTTGAAATGCACAAATGCCCTGGTAAACACATTTTAGATGCCACAATTACATCTGAAAAGAAAGTGGCAGATGGGCTCTTTCGACCCCATGACTGACAAACTGCAAACTGTTCTAGCATTGCTAGCAGGAAGGCCAAGGAATCACTTGCTCTGGAGACCAAAGTGTTCTGTCACCCCAAAAGGTAAACCCTATTGGAGTAGAGCAAGCAAGCCTGGAGCACTGGGCCAGGTGCAAGACCTGAGGACTGAACCAGAGTCAGCAATGCCAGTCCATGCTATGAACCAGGCCCTATCATAAAGTAAACACTTGCTTACAAGTTCACTGTCCAGTACATGAACTTGGTAAAGGCACATAGTGTTGCTAAAACACAGGCACTCCCAATAAGTACTAAGTATGGGTATTCATGTAAACATATTCCAGAAAGCTAGTATAGGCACACCCCAGAGTTATGACAAACACAAGCCTGGGAGATGGTACAGGAAAACACCAACTCCAAGTAAAAACAAGGATAAGAGGACAGAATGATGGATGGAGGTGTTTTGTTTGAACCAGAAGGTACAAGGTATAGGGTGGATAACTAACCACATCAGAAGTGTAATATGGAACTTGTTTGTACCAATGGATTAAAGAGAAATCCTAGGAGGGGCAACTTTGTGCAGCCTAAGGGGCAGCAGAAAGTCACGCTGCTGACTGAGTGGAGTCCATTGTCACAGGCATATATGTGTTAGTGTCCCTGTAGAGTCTATCAGGCAATAGCACGGTGCTTCATCAGCAATGAACCTGGCTGAGTGCCTTTGCCACTGGACTGAGTCTGTGGTCTTTCTGGGTAGTACTTTCGAGGTCTGCTGAGCCAGCTATCTGCAGGGCTGCTACAGCATATGGAAAGAGCATACATGCATGTCAACTGACAACACCTGTCAGATCAAGGATGTGCAAATGAGCAGTGCAGTGTGGGCAAGTTTACATTTCCATTCCCCACATTTTATGGTGTGTGGGTATAAACAGAGGAATTGATTCTCAGGATGTCAGCCTTGAGACGTGCATAAGAAGTACATTCTTCTGTTAATATCGTTTAAAAACTGCAAAGTTATACAATGAACTGCAGTATTGGTAAACTGTGGTATCAGTATTTGGCTTATAACTGCAGTGCCTGTCCCTCCCACAGTCCACCCAATATAGTTCCTACACCATTTAACGACACCCTTCTTTAAGTGCTGCGTATTCTTGGTTGCCTGCAGCTTGAACTGTTGTGGCAGTGTATTCTCTTTCACCCTGTTTTTTGTGAAGAGAGAAGATAACATTATCTTTCCCAGCCCATTGTACAATAGGGAAATGGTATAACATGCCAGGTCAGAAGAAAAAGCTGAAAAACAGATGTTTTGCTTGTCTCTCTCAGATGAAGGAAAGTGATAAGGGTTTACCTGATTAAACTAACTGATAAAGCATACCATAGATTTGCTCCCTCCTTCTATTGCTAAAGAAATGAATAGAGGACCATGAAATTGGAAAACAAGAACTTCTGATTACAGACCAAACTCTTATTGAAACAAGTAGTCCCACAGAAGTAAATGGGAGTGTTTGCATGAGTCAGGTGAGCAGGATATAGTTCTATCTTTCCAGTTAACTTAGAAATAGAATAAGGAAAAAAATAGGTAGGAGCCTGATCCTGATCCCAATCCCATTGAGAGTTTTGGCATTGCCTTGAGTGAGAGCAGAATCAGCACCCGTGATGATTTGCTGTATAAGTTTGGGGTTGTGCCGAAGTTAGCCATGCTTTCCCTTCATAGTGCATTTCTGTAAAATGTATATAAACATTTACAATACGATGTTCTAAATAAAGAAAGGAACATCAAATGTCGCATACCACACAAATGTGAAAAAGCTCACAATGCATGTGGGCTGGAGTTATCAAACCAATACAAGCTCACGGAAAGAAAAGGTATTCTATTGTACCAATCCTACTAAATACTATTTTCTAAAATTTCCCATTGTGGACTTATTTGTCAGATCACATTTTTCATCATTCAGTTTAAAATTAGCAGAAGAATATGCCTGCTTCTGGGATGCCAAAAAGAAAACAGCTACCACTTTTCTTGGCATTACTCATAACTGTTCTATCTAGATTCAGTTTTTTATCCTGCAGTACATCCTTAGATAGACTACTTTATGTGCCTCTAATGCTGGACTGCTGATTTTTCTTTGATTTACTATCATTTCGCTACTCTGTATCTGACCTTCACAAGCACTATAGATGCATTTTTCTTGTTTGCCTGAATTGCCCAATGTCCATTTCCTGTTTGACAATTGGCATCTGACCTTAAAATATGTCTAGAGGTTTTGCTAATTTTTGTTCCAGGTAAGTATCATATCAGATGTATCTACCTTACTGTAAAGAACCCAGCAGCACAGAGTCTCAGAGCCCAGGGCAGTGACTAGGTCTTACAGGGTTTAGGCTGCAGGGCTAAAAATTGCAGTATAGATGGTCAGGCTGGAACCTGAGCTTTGAGACCCCACAATAGTAGACGGTCTCAGAACCTGGGCTCCAGCCTGACTATCTACACTGCAACTTTATAGTCCTGCAGCATGAGCTTCACAAAACCAAGTGAGCTGACCTGGGCCAGCTGTGTCATGCCAGGGGTCTTTTATTGCAGCATAGACAGAGCTTCTCTCATTAGCTTAGGCCAAAATGGGTAAAACAGAACAATGGAACATAGCATAATATGAAATTCTAAATTGTCCTGGATAGTTCAAGAGTCATTTTTAGTTTGATATGACAGGGCAGAATCTTTGCTGTGGTAGAGAACCACTGCGGGAAACAAAGGAGAGAGATGGTTACATTTTACTAGTCCTGTTTGGCGCTCTCTCTCGGCCCAAGTCTGGCAGTGAATCTGTCCTCATATGTCAATGTTAAGAGTGTTTTCTTATGGCAGCTATTTTATTAAAATCAATATAACGACACAAGCTGAAATAACTGAAGTCAGATATCTAGAATTCCCTTTCTCATTAAATCAAAAGCAAATTTTATATTCCCGCCTATAATTCAAAGATTATTCTGTAGTCTAATCTAATGCAACAGTCCCTTGACTCTAATGGAAACAGAATTAGACCAATGTGGAGCGCTTTTGAAATCTCACCACATATTCCCATGAATAAAAGTGGTAACTGGATGGTTATACTAGTGTATATCTTAGAATCCAGGATTAGCAGCTGAGGTGTGGAAATTCTATTCAATAAGTATCTCCATTTATCACAACAACTTTGACATAATATGACACACTGTTCTCAGATTCAGCAATAATAGGCTCAATGGTGTAACTATATATGAAGTGCAATGATGTGCATCCTCAGTTTCATAATTCCTTTCCTTTGACAGTTTTGGCATCGTCGTTGATAAGATTATGTTTAGTCATTTAATGAGAATATGTAAATGTGTTTCACTGGTTCTTACTTCATTCTCTGACTTTCATTTAAAATCAAACTTCTTCAATGACAGCATTCTGTTAAAGGGTTGTCAGATAGTATCACAAGCTTGGAAATTAATGTTACTGAGTAGGTATAGCAGATAATTTTGAGAATCTCCCCTTAAAACGTTGATTGCTTATTTTTCCTATGAGATATAAAAATTGATCTAATTGCTTACACAAATTCTCTCTTGTTTCAAATGCCTTTATAACCACTCGGTTCTTTTTGATACCTCTGCATCCTAATAAATAGTTAGAAACAAATGCTAAGCAAAACATGCCTTTTAGCCTATAATTTTTAAGCCTATGCTTCAAGCCTAGAGCAAATGAAAATGGCTGAGATACATCACTGGAATATAGAGTTTATAATAGAAATGGCAAGTCAACCTTAACTATGGCATCAGCATTATAAATGTCATTCACTGATTATTCAAATTCCAAATTAACTTACAAGTCTATATTCAAGGTGACCTGATTTTACAAAGGTTGTCTTCAAGATTTAGTCGCACTCAAATTTGTTTGCCATGAACCATATGTTAATGTCACAGATATTTTTAGTCCACATGAATGCCAAAGAGAATCTGACTTTGTAATGAACCACACAATTGTCTGTGACTCTTCAGCCAGACT